GCTATTTTTTTTACCCTGTGTTTAAACCCCAGAACCTACATGGTAGAAGGAGAGAACAGGCTTCCACACGTTGTCCTTTGACCTACACATACACACACCACAGCATACCCATACTCACACAAATACACACAAATGAATAAATAAACTGATTTCCCCCTCTAATTTTTTAAAAAAGATTTAGTATAATGGGGCCAGGCATGATGGTACCCATCTTTAATCCCAGTACTTAGGAGGCAGAGGCAAGGAGATCTCTGAGCTCAAAGCCAGCCTGGTCTACAGAGTAACATGTCTTGAAAAAACAACAACAAAAAGATACCTATAAATAAAAATTCTAAAGCCAAGTATGGTGACACACATCTGTAACCCCAATATTGAGGAGGATGAGACCAGTGAATTACCACAAGTTCAAAGCCAGCCTTGCCTCCATAAGGAATAGCTGGGGCTACATATAAAGACCCTGTCTTTAAAAGAGCAAGGAAGGAAATGGAGCCCTCTGAGGAGTTCTTTCTTTCTTTCTTTCTTACTTTGCAAGATAAAATAAGTGATTTTCTTTTTCTTTTCGAGACAGGGTTTCTCTGTGGCTTTGGAGGCTGTCCTGGAACTAGCTCTTGTAGACCAGGCTGGTATTGAACTCACAGAGATCCACCTGCCTCTGCCTCTGCCTCCCGAGGCCAGCCAGTGACTTTCTTAATTACTGGAAATTCCAGAACTGAGTTTCCCGTTGATAAGTAATAGCGGCACAACATGGAGAAACTGCTGAAAGCGATGAAGAGGAACAGCAGTTAAGAGGTAGCCTTGTCTAACTCCTAGAGGGGTGGACACATCGCTGGGATTTACTAATATGAAGCATCTGCTGCTGGTTGCTAGTAACTACTCCCCAGGTCACACAAACTCTACTCCTGGGTTTACTAAAGGTTGGTTTGAGGACAGATGTTTAGTATCATCAATGGATTTTCATATCTATCCTTGATTTTCTAACTTTCTTTCCTTCCATAGGGTCTCATCTCACTATGTAGCCCAGGATGCCCCAGAATTTCCAATCCTCCTGCTCCTGGCCCCAGAATGCTGGGATTATAGGTGTGGGCCACCATCCCCATCTTTCCTACTTGTTGTTTTTATTTTTTGAGACAGGGTTTCCCTGTGTAGCCTTGACCATCCTGGAACTCACTCTATATAGACCAGGCTGGCCTTAAACTCACTGAGGCCCGCCTGCCTCGGCCTCCCAAGTGCTGGGATTAAAGGCGTGCACCACCACCACCTGGCAGTTTTAATATATTGAATAAAAAGGTTCCTAATATTGAGCCAACTATGGTTTTCTGAAACAAACCTTATTCTGTGATGTTAGCCTCTTAATGTCCCACTGCTTTGTGTGGACACCCACTGTGGTGTTCTAAACTTAGGCCTCTCTATTTGGGCATACAGCTGCCCTCTCTGTTCCTTCTGTGTTATCTTTGTGACCATGTGAACTGCTCTTATAACATGCAATACGAAGCCTTTGTCTTTCTCCCTTTCTCTCAGTTTCAAGTATCCCAGGCTGACCTCAAACTTGCTACCTTGCTATGCAGCCCAGGATAGCCTTGAACTCCTGCCACTCCTGCCTCTATTTCCCAAGTACTGGAAAAGCAGGTATGTCCCATCACACCTGGTTCTTTTCTCTCTGTGTGTGTGTGTGTGTGTGTGTGTGTGTGTGTTGTGTTGTGTTGTGTTGTGTTTGGGGGCATCCAAACAGGGCTTTTGTGTGTAGTCCTGGCTGTCCTGGTACTTGCTCTGTATACCAGGCTGGCCTCAAACTCACAGAGATCCACCTGCCTCGGCCTCCTGAGTACTGGGATTAAAGGCAGGCACCATCATGCCTGGTTCTTTTCCTAAATTTTTAAAGAATGTGAGAATTATCTGTTACTTAAGGATTTGATCAGAACCACAAAACCAAGTGGGCCTTGTGTCCCTTGGACAAGAGGATCTCAACAATCGTTTTTAGTCCTTCTCCATAGTTGATTTTCCATCTCCTCTCCAACCACCACAAGGATCAGAGGTCATGGCCATTTCATAGAAATAGGCCACAGGGGCTGTCGTGGGACTGCATGTCTTAGGAACTATTAGGATGCATCATGAGGAGCTTTGAGATTTGGAGGGCTCTCACAGGTTGTGATGTCTGGGGGAGCATAGCTGTCACTCAGGTAGGCATTGCTGGGCTTGGCCACCTTTAGGTAGACAACATCATATGTGTTCTTCAGGGCTGCCACGGCGTCCTCGTGCATGACGTCCTCTAGCCCCACACTGTTGACCTGGGTCAAGGGAAGCAAAGCTCAGACAGAGCCAGAAATGGTCAGGCAGTGAGGCACCCAGGCCTGCAATAAGACCCGAGTCTCTACTAGAAACACAGTTCAGGGCCTCACCGCCAGGATCTTGTCTCCAATCTGCAACCTGCCATCCTTGTGGGCAGCACCTCCTTCGATGATCTTTGTTACGTAGATGCTATTATCTCCAGGGATGTGCTGGTTCCCTACACCCCCTGCGATGCTGAAGCCAAGTCCTGGATGGCAGGGAGGGGAGAAGTGTCTTCCTATTGGCCCAGGGAGCAAGCCTTGGAGGCAGGGAGAAGCAGGATGGTGAGGAGGGGAGGGGAGCTAACATGGGGTTACCACTACCTTTAGGCCCTTTGATGAGCTTGATCTCCATGACCTTCTCAGCTGGGGGTTTCCGGCGCATGACATAGAGACGAACGATGGAACCTGCTTCTTTGAGGGCCTCTACCGCAGCTGAATGGGTCACCTCCCGAACATCCACTTCATTCACAAAAAGGATGCTGTCATTGACCCTGGGAACAATAATACAGGTCTAAGCCAGGAGTTTCCTACTGCCCAGCCCTCCCTTTCCAGGTACTAGCTTTCTTCCTTTCTTTCTTTCTTTCTTTCTTTCTTTCTTTCTTTCTTTCTTTCTTTTTGAGACAGTAATTCTCCTGGCTGTTCTGGAACTCCCTCTGTAGACCAGGCTGGCCTCGAACTCACAGAGATCCACCCGCCTCTGCCCCCCAAGTGCTGAGATTAAAAGCATGGGACACCAACTCCCAGCAAGTACTAGCTTTCTAAGCCCTGTCTTCTCTCCCAACCTGAGGCGGCCATCCTGGGCTGCAGCCCCACCAGGAATGATCTTGGTGATGAAAATGGATGGGTCGTCACCAATGTGCGGGTTGTCAGTACCACCTGCGATGCTGAAGCCCAGACCTGAGTTACCCTGGGAAGAAGGAGGATAAGAGGGTCAACATCCCTTACTGCCTAATTCTATTAAGGGATGCAAGAAGGGGACAGGATTAGAAAGGAGCAGCTAGAATACACAGGGACACAGTTAAGGGTCTGGACCCTAGAAACACCAGCCCAGAGCCAAGGGACTTTGAATGGAGGGGTTAGTTCTCACCCTTTCCAATGTGATCTCCTCGTATTCCATCTCCCCCTCTGTCCCGTTCACCTGCAACTCCAGCACGGGACAGAAACACAAAAACAGTGAGACAGACATTCTGGCCAGAGAACATGCCCCTCCATCCCCATTCAGGGACTCATTCCCTTCCTCTCTCCTACCCTTCTGCTATGGCCCCAGATCCAAAATCTAAACTACTCACATATCCTGGGGCTTCTAGGGTATCCGTGTTGACAATCACAGGGGGAGAATTGGCCTGAGAGGAGACAGAAGACAAAAAGCTACCTAAGCCTTAACTCCAGGGGAAGTCCATAACCAAAAGTGGGTCCAACCAATCTGGATCTCCTTTTAGCTGTATAGTCAAGCCACACCTTAGGGCAACTCTAAAGGACCCAGCCTGTCTACATTACACACACATGCATGCACTCACTCGTGTACACACACACACACACACACACACACACACACACACACACACAGACACCATATGCACGCATGCACACACAACTCTGCCCAACCCAGGCCCCTGTATGTTTAAAGAGGTGTATGAGAAGAGGGAAGAGAGAGACAGCCAGACGGAGAGGGGAGCAGCAGATGGTAAAGAATGGGGAAAGGGGGAGCATGCTGGGGGGGTTGCTTCTCACCGGATGTAACACTACAGGGGCTACGCGTTACACCCCAGGGTTCAGGTCCACTAGGTCCTGCTCTCCTCTTTGGGGTCCCCTTCCTGTCTCTATATCCTAACAATCAACCCAGATATCTTGATAACCCTCCCCCAAATTTGTCCCTCACCTTGGCACACATTTGCTCTAAATCTTGCGCCATGAGAATCCGGGGTTTCCCCAGCTTCTGGTCCCTCCCTCTCTCTCACCCACCCGCCATCCAATCCACCCCTTCCTCCAGGGACCAGGTTGCCTAGCAACGGTATCTAAGACCAGCCAAGACCTGGGGAGACCCACCTCCAGGAGGCCTGGTAGTCAGGACAACGGGTGGGGGGCGTGGCCTAGGGTACGACGACAGACTCCCTAGAGCAAAAGACTGGATGAGTCCTCTCCGGCTTTGGACCCGCCCACCGTTAGCCGGGCCAAGAGGCCAGAACGATTCTATTCCTGGGCGTGGGCGCAGCGCATCCTGAATAACCTGCCTTCCTCTCTCCTTTGAGCCCCTCACCCTACGCAGTGCAGAGAACGTCAGGAAGGAGAAATGGTAAAAGGCATCCAGAACCTAGCCTGTTCTACTGCCCCCACTTCATTAAGGAAAGGGTTAAAGCGAGGCGTGCCCTGGTCCCTGACCACAGAGGCATCTACTTTGCAGCCGGGTCTCTAGCTAAACTGCAGGGCGGGGACAGCTTTAGACTTGTCCTAGGGGCTTCCCCAATTGCCAGGGCAACCGAAGCCACCGTCTCTATAGCAAGGAGGTGAGGCTGCCAAGAGACTCCTTCCGGGGGTCCCCAATCTATTTCCTCCTTAGACAAATACTTGAAACCGATCAAGTACGAGGATTCCCATTCCCTTCCTAAGTTCTCCCTCTCCTATAAAGGTCCCTCTTCTCCCTTACTGCTATTTCTCAAATCCAGAAACTCTGAACCATTTCAGGCCCCTTAATAGATTTCATACCCGTGAATCAACTGTCATCTCCACCACCACCACCACCACCCCCGGCCCCAAGCGAACGCTGTTGTCTAGCCGATCGTAGCACACATCCTCAGACCCACCCTTAGACTACAACCTCTCCCCGCACCCAGTCCCTAACGATTCTTTATCTCTACTGTCATCCCACACCCTCCCTAAGTTTGCCAAAATATTCCAACCCCAGTTACCATTCTCCACCCACTTCCCTGTCCCCATAGCAGACTTGAGCTCTATCCCTTCTCTTTCCTATCCTCGCCTGTCACCTCTCTGAAGAGAGAGGGCACCTCACTATCCCCCTTTACCTCATCTGCAACCCCTTAAGGTCCTAGCTCCAAATAACACCCTCCACTTCCCAACCCACTCCCCAACTCTGGATATTGGAGCATCTCCTGTCCCTTGGCCGAAGCCCTGTCCTGAGACTTCCCACCTTCACTTACCCCCACCCCTAGCCACTCCCTGAGCCTTTGCATTGTACCGCTACTACCCTCAGCACCGGTCTCCTCCCCACCCCAGACATAAAGGCCTCATCTTGCAAAAGGCACCTAGAACCTTCCTTCACCCCCTCAAGTCACACACACACACAAATATTCTGCACTGTGCCCGTTTCCAGTGCTTCATTTTCCTCCCACCAAGCAGCTTATTGAGCCCCAATTTCCGTCTTACCCCCATGCCTTAAGACCCCTGCCTTCCTGCTTTTCTCTATTCCTCCCTTTGCCACTTTTAGCCTCAGAGACTGCTACAGCCACTTTCCTGCCTCATCCCTGGTTCACAAACCTTCTCCCATCTTCTAAGTAAAATATCAGCAACTGGGGTCCCCTTCCTAAAACATCCCATATTTCTGGCCCCTCTGTGTTCTCCTCAATCCTACAGCGTGTCCCCCTATAAGAGGCAATTAAGAGAAAGGGGGCTGGGAAATGAAAGGTCTCAGAAACAAGGCCTCTCAGGCCTGGAGAAAAATAAATAAATAAATAAAAGCTGACTGTGAGCACAAAGGAGGAGGGGAAGGGGAACAGGTGGCCATATATATAACGAGGACAGGGAATGGCTGAAGAAGGAATGGGTGCAGGTGAGACCAAGAGGAGGAAAAAAGACAGATATGATCAGGGAAGAGTGAAACGGGAAAGAAATGGGCAGCTGGAGGGCAGAGAGAGAGAGAGAGAGAGGACCGACTGCTCAAACCAGGAGAGGGTTGATCAGGCCACACACAGAGGCCTGAGCTGGGGATCAGCGAGAGGGGGAAGGAGATGCATGCGTGGGAGGAAGAGAGAGACAGCATCAAGAACCAGCCAGCCAGCCAGCAGGAGGGAGGGGCACGGGAGAGGAGCAAAGGCTGGGGCACAGGAAGAGGCAGAAAGGACCAAGATTTGAAGTCTCAGTCCAGCCAGATGGAAAGAGCTGGAGACTCGGGAACAGGCAGAGCCAGGCCCAGAGGCAGAGGTTGGGGGAGGAGGTGGGGAAAGGGACAGGAGCAAATGAGGGCACCCAGGGCTGGGAACAGAGCTATGGACACAGAAAACTGAAGCGGAGGCTGGGGGTGCGAAGGGATGAAGAGGGCCCTGGCACTGAGAGCACCTCTTGGGGATCCTTCATCCATCTCAACACACCAAACACACAAAAAGGCACATACATTCTGGCTTTAGGTTCTGTGCCCACTCCCACTTTCCTGGCCTATTCCTCTTCTGTGAGACCCAAGTGTTTCCAGCGACGTGTCCCCTCCCCCCATTGCCAATCAAGAAGCATAC